CAGCATAGGTTCTCTTCTGTCTACATTAACCTCTTTTTTTCTGTGAAATATATTCTTATTGAAAATAGATAATCTTAATATGATATATTCTGATTATGATTTCTAGTTCCCCAACTTCAGCTAGATCCTCCACATACCCTTACCTACCCAAATCTATACACTTTTTTCCTCTCTTTAAGATACAAACTGTTATTCCTTGCAATAAGAATAAAATAAAATTAGATAAAACAAAAAAAACCACTAAAATAGGATCCAAGAAACAAATAAGCAGAAGAAGTAAAGCTAATGACAAAGCTCATGAAATACATTTTGACCCAGAAAAACACAGTTCTTACATGCAGAAACGTCATAAGATCAGGAAACCAGAAACCACATCATATCTGAAAATTATGTAGGTGGTAAAAAAATTAAAGAATAGCCGGGCGGTGGTGGCACGCGCCTTTAATCCCAGCACTTGGGAGGCAGAGGCAGGTGGATTTCTGAGTTCGAGGCCAGCCTGGTCTACAGAGTGAGTTCCAGGACAGCCAGGGCTGTCTGGAAAAAAAAACAAACAAACAAACAAAAAAAGTTAAAGAATAAAAAAAGCCCAGGCAAAGTATTCTTAGACAAAACTCCTCCAAAAATGCCATTGAATTTATTTTGTTTTTCTAATTTACTACTGCTGTGCATAAGGTCTGGACTTAAGTAAGAATAGTTAGTATATTCAGTGAGACTCCTTTGGAAAAAAACTAATCTTTCATTTGCAATTTAAGATTGCTTCTGAGTTAGGGATACAGACTGGGGCTCACCTCCTTTCCAGAGTACTGGGTCCCCATTACATCCCTGTCTGTTCAGGCCCTGTGCATGCTGCCATAGTCTCTGTAAGTTCATATGTGTGTCTGTCCTGTGTTTAGAAACACTTGTTTCCTTGATCTCATCTTGAATTTAAATTTTTGTCTCCTTTTCTGCAGAAATCTCTGGATAAATTGTTCCAAGGTTTCATATTGGCTAGTTGTTGATATCTGTATTAATTCCTATCTACTGCAGGAGGAAGCTTCTCTGGTGATTGTAGAGTAAGATGCTGACCTGTGGATATAACAGAATATCCTTTAGGAGTCTTTATTGCTAAGTTCCTTTAGCTTGGGTTCTTGGCTGCCTGAGCTCTTCCAGGGGTGGGTTCCATTTCATTGAGTGGATCTTAAATCCAATCAGATTTGGTTGGTTATTCCTGCAAGCTTTGAGCAGCTATTGCTCAAAGATATTAGCTTATCTTGCAGACAGATCACAGGATAGATACAAGAGTTTGTAGTAAGCTTGTTTTTCTTTCTCTTTTAGAACTAGAAGCCTCATTTGTTGACAACTCTATTTCCTGCTTTAGGCATTTTTTCTTTAAAATTTATTACTTTTATTTTTGCCTTTATTTAATTTAGGCTCATGTTTTCATAGGCCAATATTTACGTGTTCTTTGCCGGCAGAACCATATAGTAACTATAATGAGCCTACTCATATGTGCAAAGCAAATGGAGTTTTTCAATGTGGCATATAACCGGTTCAAATTTATAAGCTCTTTACCTGATAGGCAATTAAATTTTATTTCACTTTAAAAATGTAGTTTTGGATCAAATAACTTGCTTTGCATGGATAGAAAATACATGAATCTATTTAATGAGTTATTTCTGTGGAAATTGTTCCGCCTTTTTCTTCAATACACATTTTCACATTGGTGACATCCCTGTGGAGGTGTTTTACAATATGGAGACAGGCATTACTTTCCCTAATGTTTACTCTCCCCAGTAACTAATACTTCTTGTCCATTACTTCTTAGGTTACTTAGGTTCCTATGGTGCTTTTTTGACATAGCAGAATTTAGTGGTCACCAATGGACTCCAACGATTTCTGTCATGTATGTTATCCAAACTCTTGATTTGTCATCGTGTCATACAGCCATTATTTATTTTTCTCTTAATTTTTTCAATTGTCAGAATACGTGTATATATTTATGTTAAACAAAGTATTTTTTAGTGTTTCAACATGTGAGATGATGATGATGATGATGGTGATGATGATAATGACACCAAAGATCTATTACTTTAATAGTCATCATACATGCCATATTACACAATCCTATGATATATTGCAACTGTGATTTTCATTTGAAACCAACTCTGCTGGCAAGGGAGAAAGAAAAATAAGTAAACCATGAAATTTTAAACTACTATTAATCTGCATTTCCCTGAAGGCAAAGAATGCTGAACATTTTGAAAGTGCCTCCTAGTCATTTGTATTCCTTGTTCTAGAAAACTGTGTTTACTTAGTCTAGATGTTTAGCCCAGGGGATGACACTCCCCCTCCCTTAAGCAGTTCCCCCTTGAAATGCCTTTATAGATACACCCAGAGGTGTGCCTTAGTCTCTTAAGTCATTCTACATCTAGTTAAGTTATAAATACCACAAGAAGGGATAAAAGTACTTCTCTTCAGGACAATGAGAGAAGTCTAGAAGAAACATACCTTTCTATACTGGCTTCTTCATGTCAGATTCTATTGTCTTAAATCCTTGCAACTCCCTCCTCCATATTAGATTCTTGTTTATAGACCCCTGGTAAAATTGTGCTCTTTTTTTTTTTTAAGTCACTAAGTCTATGATATTCTGTTATGAGAGCCTCAGAAATAGGATATAGAGCAATAATTTTAAAATGTTTTAACAGACGTAAGGGGAATTGCCTTTCTAGAAATAAATTCTGTCTCCAAGATTCCAGTCTTTCAGTGTCTACCATGAACTATATGCATGATGATTTAGAACTACTCCTGACACAAATAACAGTAACATATGAGATTATTATATGTTTTAAAAGAAAGGCTTTCTCAGTAAGATACTTATTTTAACAGACATATGCCTGTGTCTCAAGCATTTCACTGATAATATATATTTCAGGAATTTAATAGAGTTGAATATGCATGCACACAATTGTCTACTTTGATGTTCATTCATAATTCAGTAACAGTTTGTTAATGCAAGAAGTTAAACATTAAAACTGTCAACATTATAATTTATGTTTTCTTGTCTAATAACACTTTGTTCTTTAATAACTATATTCATTAACATTTAAAATTTCATCTATTATTTTTACATGTTTAATAATTTTTAGGAAGCTAGTCTCTTAACAAACTTTGTTGGATGATGGTGCCTTCTTTATAATATTGAAGTGCAAAACATATATACCTTCTGTTTCTTATGTTTAAATGAATTTCTATTTTATCTTTGCAGGAAATTGTTAAATAATTAAAAACACTTTATAAAAATGTAAATCCTGACTTGGTAGATCACTTTTTTCCCATTATAGTGTCTTCCATGAAATATGAGGAACAATTTAAGCAAAACCAAGTTTAAAAAAACAACAGTATAACTTTGAGAAAGTTATCTCTGTGATAATAGTGTATGCTCAGAGAAACACAAAGATTGTGGCATGCTCGGGATAAGGGATGTGCCCAAGGATCAGTGGGGGTGATTGTAGCAGTGACTCATTGCACTGGGGAAGCAGAACTTAGGGAGGCCACGTCCTGTAGCCGTAAAGAAATCCTAGTGGAGCAATAGAAGTATCAACACATTCAAAAATCTTTCAACCCCAAATTTATTCTGTCTACAACAAATGCGGGCACGAGGGATGAAGAAGAGACTGAGGGAATGGCCTTCCAGTAACGGGGCAAACTTGAGACTCATCTGATGAGAAAGTATCAATCCCTAACACTATTAATGATTCTCTGTTATTTATGCTTGCAGACAGGAGCCTGTTGTCCTCTGAGAGGCTCCACCCAGCAGCTGAGAAACTACACTTGAGAGTTGTGCTTTGACTCATGTCAAAACACCCTGATGAGTACATACCCCCCTACTCATACTCACATTAACATACACACAATATTGATAAATCAAAAAACCCATTAATAAATAAATAAATACATAAATAAATAAGCAAAATTAGAAACAAAGAAAAATCTGAACAATCACAAGTGCAAATTTTCTGTCAATAGTCTTGTTTTGGGTTAAGACACTGTGGCTTTGTGGAAGTGTTTTTCTGGACTCCTGCCTGAGAAGCAGGTAGGCTTACTGCACATCTTCACCTCTTCTTCCTCTCCACAGAATGCATTTCCTCAGTGTCATCTCCAATTCTGTAGCTGACCACCTGCTGAGACCTCTACTTCCTCTATGACCTCACCTCCAGTGGATTATACAGATTTATACTCCAAACTCCTTCCACTATTCTTAACTCCCAGCCCCAATTCTAGCAAGCATTCACTGGGAACCTGCCAGCTACCCTAGCAAGAGAAGCAGTTAGGCTAGCTGAAGATCTTCACATCTTCGTCTCTATCACAACTATTCTACCAATGTTATTCCAAGCTCTGCAGCAGATTAATAAAGGACAAAATAACAGAGTAGATTTGAGAATAGAGTTCATCCTTCTTCTGCATCCAAGAAACACACGATAAATTTAAGGATAGATATTACCTCAGTTTAAAAAGATAGAAAAGAGGGTCAAAGCAAATACAACTAAGAAGCGAGGTGGTATAGCCATTTTAATATCCTAAAACTTTGACTTTAATCCAAAACTTATCAAAAGAGAAAAAAAAGTCATTAAATAAGCTTCAAAAGAAAAATATCTCAGGAGGACATGGCAATTCTTAACATCTATGAACTGAACATAAGGGTACACATGCTTGTAAAAGAAACACTACTACAACTATATTGACCCTCACACACTGATAGTGGATGATTTTATTTCCCCATCTGTACCAATAGACAGGACATCCAGTCAAAAACTAAATACAGAAATGTTGGAGCTAACAGACATTATAAACCAAATGTATTTAACCAATATTTACATGTCACCTGCACACAAAAGACTATGCCTTCTTCTCAGCACATCGTGGAACTCTCACAAAAACTGACCACATACTTAGACTCAAAACAATCTGAACAGATACGAGAAAATCAAAATAACTACCTGCATCCTCTTAAACCACCATTGATTAAAGCTGGGCACCACGAATTTGTGTGTCATCCTTGCACAGGGGCCATGCTAATCTTCTCTGTATCGAACCAGACACTATTGCAGATGCCAAGAAGTGCTTGATGACAGGAGCATGTTACAGCTGTGTCTTGAGAGGCTCTGCCAGATCGTGACAAAGAGGCTGATGATCACAGCCAACCACTGAACTGAGCATGGGAACCCCAATGGAGGAGTTAGAGAAAGGACTAAAGGAGTCAAAGGGGTTTGCAACTTCATAGGAAGAACAACAATATCAACCAACCAGATCTTCCAGAGCTCCCAGGAAGTAAACCATCAACCAAAGAGTACACATAAAGGGACTCATAGCTCCAGCCATATATGTAGCAGAGGATGGCCTTGTCTGGCATCAGTGGGAGGAGAAGGCCTTGGTCATGTGAAGGCTTGATTCCCCAGTGTAGGGCAAGACCAGGCAGTGTGGTGGGAGTGGTAGTAGATGGGAGAGCAACATCATAGAAGCAGGGGTGGGAGGGGGTGAGATGGGGGAGTTCCAGAGGGGACACTGAGAAAGAGGATAACATTTGAAATGTAAATACATAAAATTTCCAATAAGAAAAGTAGAAAAAAATGCTGAGTATCAACAACAACGAAACAACAGAGAGCTTAGATACTCATGGAAACTGAACAACCTACTAATAATGGAAAAAATGTGTCAATATAGAAATAAAAAACAGGTATTAAAGACTTCCTAAAATTGAATAAAAATGAAAACTCAGAACACTCAAACTTATAGAACAAAATCAAGGTTGTGGTTCCAAGAGGCAAGTTCATAGCACTAAAGTTACAAAACACAAAGCAAACAACCAATCAAACAAAAGCAGTGAGATCACTTACAAGTTACATAATCATGCACCTATCTATCTGAAAGTTGTGGAACAAAGAGAAGAGACTCTTTTCCAAAAGGAACAGAAGACAAGACAGAATCAAATTCAAAACTAAAATCAATAAAAGTTCTTAGTTTTGAGAAAACCAACACAATTGACAAATCATTATCCAAATTATATTATAGACCAGGTTTTACTATAAAATAGATCTAATTATTCTCAATGAAATACTTGCAAACCAAATCCAAGAACACATCAAGAAGAACATATACTATGGTCAAGTAGGCTTTAATAACGAGATTAAAAGATGGTATAACATAAATTGTTCTACCAGAAGCCCTAGCTATACGGCTCCTGGCCATGTACCCAAAAGATGTTCTACCATACCACAAGGACATGTGCTCCATTATTTCCATAGTAGCTTTATTCCTAACAGCCAGAAACTGGAAGCAACCCAGATGTCACTCAACTGTAGAATGGATACAGAAAATGTGACTCATTTACTCAGCAGAACACTATCTAGCTATTAAATACAAGGACATCATGACTTCTGCAGACAAATGGTTGGAACTAGAAAATATACTGAGCAAGGCAACCTAGATCCAAAAGGACATACATGGTATGTACTCATTGATAAGTGGATATTTTCACAGAAACTCATAATACCTATGATACAACTCATAGACCATATGAAGCCACGAACAAAAAGAGCATATAAAGACTGGTTTGAGACCCCCAGCACACATGTAGCAGATGGCTGCCTTGTCTGGTGTCAGAGGGAAAGGATATACCTAATCCTGCAGAAAGGTGGTACTCCAGGGTGAGTGGATGCCGGGGGTGGGGGGGGGGGTGGGGTGCCCTCTTATAGGCAAATGGGAGGGGAATCGGGGGAAGAACTCTGAAAGGGAAGATCTGGAAGGGAGACATTTTTGAGATATAAATTAATAAATAATTAATTAGAATAAAGAAAATCAAGAATTAAGACAGTGAATTAGAGGAAAAAAAGAAAAAGGAAATGAAATAACTCAACTGAAAAATGAGGGGCAGATTTTAGAGATTTATCAAAAAGGAAATTCAAATGCTAAAAACATTTAAAGAAACGTTCACCACACTTAGCCTTCAGGAAAATTCAAATAAAAACTACTTTGCTTATACAATGGATTCTAGTTTACTGGTTTCATGGATTTGTGTGTGTAAATGAGTGGATGTCTGCATCTGTGTCTGTTTCATGATTTGTGTGTGTAAATGAGTGGATATCTGCATCTGTGTCTGTTTCATGGGCCTTTTTTTTGGGGGGCGGGACTTTTATCCTTCTGTTTTTCTGTTTGTTTTGACCTATTGCAATGTGTTGTTTTTGTTTTCTCTCATTATATTCTGTTTTTAATTTATTACTTTCATTTGGAAGTCTGTTTTCTAATTTTTTGCTAATGAGAGTCAGAAAGGTGGTAGATCTGGAAGGGAGAGGAGACTACTGAGAACTGAGAGAAGTAGAGGGATAGGAAACTGTAAGGGAACATTATGTGACAGGGAGAAAAACTATTTTTAAATAAAAGGAAAAAAAACGAAGTGTTTTCTGGATTTATTTATTCTCACTTTAGTCTTTATCTGCTAACTTCATACCCAATATAGGCAACTTCAGGATGAAAAGATAGCTTACAGAGATGCACTAAGTAGAGCTATAAACACTGATAGAGTAATAGGTACCCAGATCACAGAATTCTCTTTAGAAACATGCAGACATGTTAATCTGCTTTAATGAGCTATTGCATTTTAATACGACCAAGCACTGGGAGTGTCTAATCTTCTTTAGGGCTGTGCCATATTAATCTACCCTTGAATTTTTTATAAATTTGACTTAACAATAATTATTAGAATTGGGTCACAACAAGTAAAATATTAAATTCTATTATGACACAACTTTCTACAAAACAGTTTTACCAATATTACTACTTAATTTCTTTTGGATATACCTAATTAGTAATGACAAATAATTTTCATTGCTATGTGGTTTGCATATCACTGCTGATTTTATTATGAAACAATATCCTGAAAAATGCAAAAATTTTGGCTCTGTACTATGAACATTAATTTTCTTGAAGATTCACAGCCGCTAATTTGCAAGGCCAGTCTTGATGCAAGTCTCTACAATTAATTCTTTTTCTACAAGTAACAATAGTCTCTAGATTTCAAAAACTGACAATTATTTAGCATATTCAATGCCAATTTTTAGTGTGAAGATGAATTAGGTGCAAACCTTGCTTGCAGAGGAAATACATGTTGATTCCAAAGATAAGATAAAATGTGCAAGTACCCATAACCTAGTCGTGGCCCGAAGGAGATGCTGAACAAGTTCCCTAGGGGTAGCAGTAAAGTTTATTAGGTAAATGATAAGAGTAGAAAATTTATGACATAAATCTGAAAGTATTTGTAAATGATATCTATGTATCCTTTGTGTGGCTGGAGTATATGCTCATATTTATCATCTGTTTGTCTGTCTATCATCTATCACATGATTATGTATGTATTTATGTATCCTCTTCTATTTACTCTATCATTCATCTGTCTGCACATATACAAATCAGATACCTTCAAAATTCAAAATAAACAAGAAAAGGAGTGTATACTAGGATGATATCTTTAATACTAACAATTAATTGACATAGCATATTAAGCATAAGATTGTTGGACGGAAATAAGCATTAGATTGTGAATGTTCACCAACACAAATATACATATAAGTCACAAAAAACCATGACTTACATAGTTGCATGAGTTGTGATCTGAGCTCCCAAGTTTACCAAATAATTTCACAATGAATTTTGGCACTGGTTGCTTATTTTTAGGTTCATCAAATCTGCTGTGCAAATTGTGACTGAAGGAACAACTATAACACTGGCTTTGTGTGAATTTTATATGATTGACTGCATTTTAAAACATTTAAGTTTATATATTTTAAACTTTATTTTATTGCATGAAACAGTATATTTTGTTGAGAATATGCAATACTATTTTGTAAAAGGATGACATATACAAGAAAAACTTCAAGTATTTGACCACAAACTTATTTGTAGACTGAAGTATGTTTCAGCCCAAGTCACAGGTTTCTACAGAGCAACATATACTGTATATGACAGAATGACTTCAAATCAAGAATACAGATATAGTCATGACAGCCTTAATCACCCAGCCTTTCTCAGTTCCAACCATCTGAGACCCACATAGAGCACTATGAGTTTCTACAGACATGTATGCATCTCTAATGAGAACTTACAAACTCTATGGAATATCTGTTTTTAGGCTCAATGGTCTCACACAACCCTAGCTGATCCCTGACACCCTCAGATTCATGGTTGTTCTCCACTTCTTTCCGAGTCCTGGGGTTAGTTCTCCCACGAATAATCATACCTATACTATACTAAGTATTTTATGTATATAAAAAGAAATGACATTATATCATCAAAACATTAATTCAAAGAACAGTGTAAAATTATTCAGTTATATTTGTTTATTTATTTATTTATTTATTTATTTATTTATTTATTTTTAAACTGGGGGCCATACCTAGCTCTGTGGCCTTACTGCAGCTGAGGGCTGTGTTGATGCTCATGCCCCTGTTACTACCTAAGATCATGCAGATGTTCTTGGTATGTGCTACTATGGATGGTATATGTGGTCTGTGCTTCAACAGAGAGCCATGTTGATGTGAGTGTTCTGCACTGTTGCCAAAAATCATCCTGATGTCTGTGTCACATATTGATATTAGACAGTATGCAGATAGTCTCTGCTATTCTGAAGACCATGTTAAAGTCCATTATCTATGCTCCAGCAGACTGTAAAGAGAAATGAAGCTACTTTACAGAGGTATTGATAACTGCAGACTCACAGTTGAGAAAAAGGGATATAGAATGGTTCTGTGATAAGTCCTACCCCATCACTCTGCCCTACCTCTGCAAAAAGTGACAGCCTTTACACATATCTATGAAAGGAATTCTTTTAAAAAGTGTGATGAGGAGCAGAGGTGAGTTGTGGGGAGTTCCCCGACCTCCATTTTCTGGTGCTGTGCTTGCCTTTCAGTCCTGAGGAGCCTTGTGAGACTCCACAAGCCAGTGGAGCCTTCAGAACACCTTGGGACTCTGTCCAACCAGTCTCTTCCTAGCCTAATCTGCTTGGGGCACAACCAGCAGAGTTCAGTCCCTTGACCTCCATTGTCAACCCAAGGCTTCTCCTGCCTTTAGGAGGA